TTGGTAGAGAAAACAAATGAGGGTGAGTTTATTTTGTCAGTTAGAGTCAACATAGGGGGATGGTCTTGAGTGGTGGTTAGCTAGTGTGTATATAGGCCCCACAATCCCAGGCTAAGAATGTCTTTGAACAAAGAGTTAGACGAGGTGACACATTTTCACATTTCTTGTTTACACTAGTTGTGAATGGATTGAACAGGTTTAACGACAAGGGCAGAGTGGTGTAATATTGTGAAGAGAGTTATTGATGGGCCGAGTAAATCAATGTCAAATTTGCAGTTTGTTGATGATACCATATTCTTCTCCGTGTTGGATGTTGAGAAATTCCTGAATCCTAAAAATATTATTGATGTGCTTGGAGTGATGTTAGGCTTAAGGTTAATGTGGACAAGAGTTTGATTGCTGGAATTAATTCCAAGGAAGAGAAGATTAATAGGTTGGTTGGAGTTTTGGGATGTCATGCGGGAGGGCGGCCTCTCAAGTATTTGGGGCTTCCGTTAAGTAGAAACCCTTTATCATTGAGACTTTGGGATCCGGTGAGAAAATTGGGAAGAGGTTAGACCTAGTGTTCCCATTTATTTCTAATCTCTAATTAAGATGTCTTCTTTGGTGGCAAGGAGGATTGAGGGGAAGATGAATAATTTTTTTATGAGAGGGTAGTGGTGAAGTAGGAAAGATCATTTGATTCGATGGGAGGTTGCATATTGGCCTAGAATTAAAGGTGGTCTTTCGGTGGATAATTTGAAGGCTAGAAATAGAGCTTTGGTTTGGAAATGGCTTTGGAGGCATCTGTTTAAGCAAAATTCATAAGCAAATATGGTTTGCACTTTGCAAGCCAATGATTGATATGCTAATGAAGTTGAAAGGGATAGTTTCCCTTAAAAAATTCATTTCTTGGGGATTAACTTTTTTTCTCAAATGGTTAAATTTGTCGTGGATAATGGATAGAGAATTTAATTTTGGGACGGTTTTTGGATCACGGAGTTATACTTACCTTGTTCATTCCCTCGACTCTATAATCTTTCTTGTTATCATCATGTTTGCATATGAATAGATCTTACTCTTGTGTCTTGGGATTTTGGTTTTCGTAGGAACCTTAATGATAGGAAAATTTCAGAATTGATCTCTCTCCTTTCTTTGCTTAATAACTGGATTCTACATCATGCCTTAGGGGATAGAAGAAGTCGGGTTGTTAACTCTACGGGGTCATTTTCTTGCAAATCTTTCATTTGTGATTCTTCTCTCCCATTTTTTATCCATCATTAAGGCTAAGGTATCTTTGAAAGCACAGTTATTGTTCATGGTAAGATTAACATGATTTTGCTTCAAAAAAAGAGACCTACCACAATGGTTCGCTATGTGTAGGAAGGATTTTGAAAGTGTGGATCACTTATTTTTGCGTTGTTCAATTGCTTTGTCATTACGGAACAAGTGTTGTGAGGTGGTGGGCGACTCCAAGATCCCTTTCATCCATGTTTTGTGTGGATTTTCAAGGCTTTGAAAAGAAGAATAAAGGAGTCACTCTTTGGGAATGTACAATTTTTCTACTATTTAAGTGATTTGGTTGAAAAGAATCGTAAGAAATTTTTAAGATAAATTTGAGCTGGTGGAGGGTTTATAGATTTGCATCCATTTCCTGCCGTCTTTTTAGGCATCTATCACTGAGGAGTTTGACAACATACCCCTTTTTAGTATTTTGGATAGATGGCCTGCTTTTTGTGGTTATTAGAAGAATCATTTTCTTTTTGTCTTTGTAGGACTATTATGTTTGGTGGCATCTAGTTTGGACGGCTTGTCCACCTTTGCCCTTTTTCTTGTGCTACATCTTTTTATGATTAACAAAACTGTTTGTTTCCTATCAAAAAACAAAGGTCACATAATTGATTCTACCAAGACATGATACTTTTCTAAGCAATGAGACGTGTGGATAAAAGGAACAGACCTAAGACACTTAAGTATATGATTTGGTTTACATATACTACAGAGATAAAAAGCATGTTCACAACAACTAAATAACTCCTTTCTTATCCTCTATCTTTCACATTATTTGGTTTTTGAAACAATATACGAAGTTATAATCTTTGGTGTATAGTCCAAACCTCAAATATTTGTCAGAGTGTTCCATCACCTTTTAATATTAAGGATACTATTGACTCCCATCTTTTAATCATTGCAAATTTAAGAGTGACCAATAATGCGAAGTTCCAATCATATTGCAATGCATAGACGCCATTAATTTTTTGGATTCCACAGTAAATTTCAAAGTCATAATCATTTAGTTCCACTCATACCAAAAAACATGTTTGGATTTCCATAGCATACACCAATCAAAAATTTAATTCCTTTTGCTAGCAACTCTCAGCAACACCCGGTGAATACAATAACTGACAAAATTATGCAGTTCAAGCACATAAGCCTTAAATGAAATAATAGATTTGCTTGTGTTAGATTCTCTTCAATCCAAGCAATTAATCCAAGCTTTATCTCCATCATAAGTTCACATTACTCTTAATCTAAAAAAAATCATTAAAAAATCCGCCCCTTAGCTACTTACTAGTTCAATTTTAAATGTGGTTCTACATGCAAATAGCAATATTTGATAGAGCAAAATATACCCAACTTCAACAGAAATAAAGAAGTACCTTCATATTGAACAACTCTCGACGGAGTTCCCAACGAACTATAGTCACCATCCTCCCATTTCATCGTAATCTTAATTTGATACCACCTACAAACACACACTCACATAAATACACTAACAAACACACACAAGAATCAAATCACAAGGATTGGCTAATCAATTAAGATAACCAATTATAGTAAAAAGGTATACAAAATGACCAAAAGCCACTCTACACAGCTTGAGGTCCTCAGCTCAAATCTCCCATGGGGCCATCCCCGAGTTTCATCCGGGAAGTTACCCGGGACTAAGGATTGGAGGTATCCAGGGTTCAAGCCTCCCTGGATCATCCTCTAGGGATTATCCCGGTACTATATTTGTAGATAAAACAATTATGGCAATAAAAGGTAAGAGTATGAAATATACCCTTGTTGAAAGAGGTCAAGATTGTGAAATCTATGAATATAAATAGCAATCTCATGTACAATCTCCAACATTGGGGGATGATTTTGATTACTACTAGGTTTAATGGGCTTAGGATTGAGAGTGGTTTGAAGTTGTGGTGAAGGTAAAGGTTTCGCATCAGGCTTAGACGGATTGATGGTTTTGTAATTATGGAAGTTGAAGCCAGCTATGATCCATCGGAGGCGCCGTAACATAGCTGATATCTATGGTGTTTCGCAGTACTACAAGAAATTTGCATCCCTACGATGATGATAATGCCGTACAAAGCCCCCTGCAGGCAGATATTCGAGAGAAGAAGAAGCAGAAACAGATTCAGGGCAGAAAGCGGAGAAGAATGGGGAAGAGAAAGGAAGGACAAGAAGGAACGAACGAAGAAACCAAAGGGAAGAGAAACGCAAAAGACGATAAGTTGAGAGATTTACCCTGTGTTTGCTATGGGGTATGGAAAATAAAATACAAAGGGGGTAAAGAACAAGGAAAATAAGGACAAAGTTGTGTTTTTTTCTTTCTTTTTCGGATTTTCCTGCGTTTATTTACCAGAGAAAACTACCCATAAACTTTTACTCTCTTTTTCTTAAAAAAGTACACCAAAAGTTGATTTAACCCAAAACAGATAAAATACCAAACAAAAATTAGACGATGGACTGTATTACAATATTTATTTTTATTTGAGGAACAATGTGAAAAAATTAATCATTTAAAGAATAAACTGAAAATTTGTGTATCTTTATGGGACAAAATGAGATTTTTCCTAAAATTTATCCCAAAATTTTTTTTTTGCTCTAAAACAACTTTTTCTTTAAGAATGTCAATCCAAAATTTGAGACTTGATGTTTTTGGATTTAGTTTTTATCTTAGTATTTCTGGATGTTAAATAAGATTATGAATTTTTAGAGTTGAGCTAGTTTCCCGACATTATCATTTTTTTTGGTGATTTTGGACATAAGTTCTCATTATGGATTCATGTTTTGAATTCTAATTTAGATGATGATGGATGTTGTTTTTGGTTTAGTGAATGCTTTTTAGTTAGAATGCTTTCATCGGTTGCTCGTTCGATTTGGTTATAAGCCCAATATTTTTAAATTTAAAATTATTTGTGTCATTTTTTTTGTAAAGAAATTTTCTCATGGAAATAGGTTATTTCTCTAAAATTTATTTACGATATGGAGAAGATTTTGAATTGAATAGTTTTTCTTTTAAATCACACTTCTTGTGAAATTTAGAGCGTAATATGTTGGGTAGCAGAGCCTATGGATTAGGTCTTATATGAAAGCTATAGGGAATGGGCTAGTCAGTGTTAGTGGTAGTAAGTGGAGAATGGATAGAATGGTAGGCATCATATAAGGTGGTTAGGAAATCATGGTAATTGTAGGTATAAAGGTGGGTGCGTATTCTTTTTTGATTCAAAGGGACTGAGTTATGTTTATTTGTGTAGGATGAAAGAAAAAAGAATACGTGGACAACCTACCCAACATGTCGGGGACCAACTAGCACCACCACCACCTCAAGATGTCATGTGTGGCATTTATCAATATTTGAGGGAACTGACTACCTTGGTGCAACACCAAAATAGGGAACAACAACCACAGCAGTGGTCATCCAACCATTAGCTCAAGGGCAACACAAATAGGAATAAGAATAGCATAATGATTGTATTAAGGGAGTTTCTGCTGTAATGCCCAACTACTTTCCTAGGGAGCTCAATTCCAATGGAGATCTTTTTTTATTATTATTAAACCCTGTCGTCATGAGTATATATTTATTATTAAGAAAGAGAATTACAAAAAGAAGGGGGTGACTTTTCCACCTTACCCCTTAATGAATCCAAATACAACATAAATTTAGAATGCTGCTTGCAAATTAGGAAAACTAAAAAAGCTAAAATTAAATCTCCTCAGTTAATGAGTCAGACAAACAAAGGAATCTTTCCTCCTCAGTGGCCTTATTTGTCGATGGTCTTGAAGAATAAGTTGCCTAGCTTGAAATGGAATTAAATCAGTTGAAGAAGTTTCAAAGAAAACTTTGTCTCGCACCCCTTTATTCGCCAAACAGTATGCAACCTTATTCCCCTCTCTATAAGAATGAACAATAACACAATCCAATCTCCTTAATAATTTAGAAATCTTATTCACCATACACCACTATTTCCATGGGGATTTACATCTACCAGTAATCATCTCCACCAAAATCTTTGAATCTAATTCCATCACCAATTTATAATCCACTAGTCCATAATGAGCATAAAGCATTAAACCATCCAAAGAGCTCTAAACTCTGACCCCATATTGGAAGAAACTTCATAGTAGAAAGAACCTACAAAGATCATTTGTTTCCAATGATTATGGAGTATAGCCCCACCACCTACTTCTCCTAGGTTACCTTTGGATGCCCCATCAATATTTAGCTTCAATATACCTTCTATTGGCATATTCCACTTCACCCAGATAGCAGAAGACTACACATATGAAGAAATTTGGACATTCAAAAAATTCAACAACTCTAAGCCTTGTAAAGTTTCAGGTTCTCTAGACTTTACCATGTAACCTTGCAACCTCAGAACAATCTTCACTTTAGCAATAATGGATGAGGTGTGTACCCTTGAACCTTCGTACAACATTCTACACCTTTATTTCCATAATTGCCAATATATAATCAGAGACACACTCCTTATAAGAGCATTACTAAATGTTCTTTTTCTGAAAATTTTTACAATTCTAAGCATTCTTGTCACAGGTTCTTCACTAGACAGCAACTGAAAGTCCATCATTGTAGAAAACTCCTCCTATACTACCCTTGCATAATCACAATCAATTAGCAGATGAGTAGCACTTTCAGCTTCTTTATAACAAAAACAACATCAACTAGCCAAAGCCACACCCATTTTTTGGATATTGTAATCCATAAGTTAGAGCATTCTTGATGATCTTTTATCCCACTAGTTGAGCACTAGGGGGGAGACTAGTTTCTAAATTATAGTTGCAACCTCAGTCAGTTGGCCTTTCTCTCTCACAAAATTCCTTGTAGATTTGACAAAAAAAATTACCAAAATCTGTATGATTCCAAACCAACCGATCTTCCATTTCTGAAAGCTCCACCTTACATTTCCTCTACCAGTTGATCATCCAACCATGAAGCTACACTATCCAAAAATAATTTAGAATCAGTAAGAAGTTCAAATAGTTTTGGAAAAAAAAGTTGGTTGGTTTTACAACCTTGAAATAAGTGGTCCAAATCCAGTCCACTTGTCACACCAAAAGTCAGATTGTGTTCTGGTACCTATAATCATTTGAATTTTAGCTACCACAATTTCAAACCAAGGAGCCAATGACTTATAACTATGGGAATGTAACTGCCCTTTACTCCTCAGTACGTGCCCATGTTTCAAGAATTTTGCTGAAAAATATTTTTGCCCAAAGAGATGTACTAGAGATAAGGTTCCACACTTGCTTAAAATGAAAAGATTTTTTAATCTCTCCAAACTTTCTGAAGCCTTAATCCAATGGAGACTCTGGCAAGTGGATTCGACAGATAAAAAAAATAATGAACAACGTGAGTATGGAATGGGTAATCGTTGGGTAATATGGAGTGGAGTTCTGAAGGTGTAAGAAAAGAATTGGGTGTGGGTTATGAATTTTAATTGTGAAGATGGTTTAGGTTTTAGTTTTGATTTTGATTTGGATATGCTATGAGTATAAATTTTCATAGGGAAACATGGTTATGACTAATGGTAGTTGTTTACAAATTGTGGGGTTGAAAGAGAAGGAAGAAGATAAAACTCGAATAGGGTTATGTCAAGCTTCTACCGATAGGAAGTGAAAACCTACTGGTAGGACGATTGACTTGATCCAAAATGTGTACACTCAAGTGTAGGTGGTCAAGTTGTAGTAATAATCCGGTTAAGTCCGGAGTCGAATCCACAAGGAATTATGATTGGCGTTTTGAAGTAAATAATAATAGAGACCAAGTAATTGGAAATTTTGAGAGTTTGAAGTTGAGGGATTTCTTGAATAGAATATAAGATTCTTTTCAAGAGTTTTCTACACAAAATATAAGATGATTCACAGAGATAACAATCACTCTTTAGTTCGAGGATCAGAATATGTAATTGATTATCCGGTTTATTATGTTTGTGCTTTATAACTCAATTAACTTCCATGTCAACAGCAAGTTAATCGGAAGATAAAGATGGACTGTGAAAATTAAGCACATGATTCCGATGTCTTTCTAAAAGTTACAAGAATTGTCTGTGCCGAGACTTAACCCGTCTACAAACAAGCAAGTGTTTCTACAAGGCTTCCAACCATGACATTAATGTTCCATTCTTTGAATAAAGCGCAATAATGGTGGAGATTGAAAGGTTGTCATGAAGAGATAGCAGGGGGTGCTTGTCTTGAACCAACGGGCCTTTTTATGCAAGAGTCATCCGTATCATAGAAGGAGCCCATGGTTATACAAAGTACCCTAGCTTTGCTAGATGCATTCAATCATCTAATAAGCAAGTGGAATATAAAGTATTAAAGCATAAAGGAGTTGCACCAACATAACTTCTGGATAATCTTTGCATATTCATCACCTCTTACTAAAGAGTGAATGAGGAACTACTCACTCTTCATGACTTGGATAAAGATAGAAAAGTGAGTGATGCTCATCCCTCAAAGTAGAGAACTTACAAAGTAAAATACAATAAACGAGGAGTCGATCTTCACCAAAGAATAAGTGAATCACGTTCTACCCTTCACGGCTTTGGTAAAGCTCTAGAAAAGTGGAAGAGTTTCACTCCTCTAAGGAAGGAAGAAGCTCAAGCAATGGAAGTGAAATAAAGTAGAAAAAGCTAGTTACTTTTGAAGGTTTCCACCACAACCAAAATATGAGCTATCTCCCTTGATACTTGTAAATAAAAGCAAGTACAACTACAAGGAGAGTCTAAGCCTCCATCATGGTTGTCACAACATGAATGTAAAGACTTAACACAAGTAAATAAAAGACTTCAACTACAAGGGGAGTTTAAGCCTCCATCATGGTTGATACAAATACAAAATGAAAACATAAACAATAAATGTACAAGAACTAACTCTCTACCCTACTTTAGAAGAGAAAATGATTGCCCCCTTTCAAGCTCCCACCATGGGAGTATTTATAAGCAAGGAAGGGGAGGGGCAAACAAGAAGATAAGAGAGGATGAGTGAATAGTGTA